TGTACAGTATTTGAAAAATAATGTGTTTTTTGAACATTAAAGCATGTCAACATATTCTGTTACACCAAATACACAAAATAATGATCTTTAAAAAAGCATCATATGACCCCTTTAAAGCATTTTGGCATCAATGATGGAACACACACTCCATATAAAATAAGTGTAAATAACATTTTCAGAAGTACTACAAATGTCTGTGCAAAGCTTTTTTAATAAAATAAAATCCTGGAGTGCACCTCTAAAAAGGAGATATCTTACTTGGGGAAAATGTGTGACAGATAAACGGCACTCTTCAGTGTAAAGGGGTCTTTATTGCACAGCAGTGGTGCAGGTTCCCCGTGCCGTGCGATGACCTCCAGCAGGAACGCTCTGGTCGCAGCGTCCAGCATCTCTTGACTGACTCCCTCGTCCTCCAGCGCCCAGCGCTCCTCCGTCTGCCTCCCCCAGCCCTGCCGCAGAGACAGTATCCTGGGGATCACCCGCGTCTCCTCCCCGCAGCGGATGTCAGGGTGGGCGTCTAGCATGGCGCGCATCAAGGTGGTCCCTGATCGTGGAACGCCACCCACAAACACCATCGGCGTGTTCTGGTTATACCGGTACTGTGTCTGGTTCAAGTTTCGAACCAGTATAGACACCACATGAGGTCTGGGAACCTTTCCAGGGCATGTTAGCACTTGATAAAGAGTAGTAAGCTTACAAGTTACGAAGAGCGTTAGCAGGAGTACAACCGCCCGTTTGACTGACAGCCGCATCACGCTAAGACGGAAAAAAGATTCAATTTAAACACAGAAGTGACTGCACTTCCTCTGTTGGCTACTTCTGCAAATATTTTGTTCATAACTGCAAGGCAACTGGTTACAGGAACCATGAGTGTCTTACAAAGCTCATTTGATTAATCAGATCTTATCTTTGAATTACACATTCTTTAAAAATCACTTTTTTTGCACATTAAAAAAGTGAAAGTGATTGATGCCACATGCACAGGAAATACAGGCTGCAGGTAGAGCTGAAAAAATAAAAAGACATTGCACTGATAAAGTGATCTGAAACGAGTTGCATTAAACACAACTTATTAAGGAAATGATTAACTGACCTTCACGCCACAAACAATGAACGTTGCATGATCTCCAGGCTCAGTGCTCTGCGGTGGAGTCAAATGGGCAGAATGCACGAAGAGGAAGTGAATGTAGTTTAAAAACATTCAGACTATCAGTTCTTTCCTGACAGCTACAACCAGTGACTTTTTCTTTTCCTGTGTCTCTCAGCCTCAAATGTGCTCAGTTTGTGCTGAACGATTCTTTGGTAACACGTGTATAAAAATGTGCAGATTTGATAGTAATGCAGCCATTTGATGCAGTATCGTTTTCAAAGGAAGATAAATCAAACAAAGGAAATGGGTGGACTGAGAAATGAGATAACATGCGAAACTTTCACTGTATAGTAAATGTGACTCTTGCACGCAAGTATGAGGCCAGGTGTTTCCACTCCATAAGACTGTTGACATACCCATATAGGGAAATGTTTTTGCATATATTTGCATTTGCTTCTGAAACACATTAGACTCTGGACATTCATCACAGAATAAAAAATAAAATTATTTTAACTTTTTATCTCACAATTCACTGACTTTTTTTCTTTTGCAATTCTGATAAAAAAAGGTCAGAATTCTGACTTTTTATGTTTGCGGCACAGAAAAAAAAGTACAAAGGTTTATATCTCGCAATTCAGACATTTTACATATCAGAACTGTGAGTTTATGTCTCATGTTAATTTAAACTCCCAATTATGAGCTACTACTATTAACTCACAGTTGGGAGATTTATTGGAATTTAAATCAGAATTCAGAAAAAGTCAGAGTTGTGAGAAATAAACTTGAAACAAATAAACTGAATCATCAGACATAAATTTAGAATTGTGCAAAAAAACAAACAAACAGAATTGTGAGATAAGTTTTTTTATGCCGTGTGAAAACAAGATTCCATAGAAGACTAGCAAAAGTCTCCATATTAAAGAATTGTTTTTGTAAATTTTCTTTCCAATGGACAGATTTTGCCACAGATTTATCAGTGAAGCATAAATGTTCTATTAAGAAATAAATAAATAAAATGAAAGAATAAAAAACAAAGTTAACAATAAATACAGAAAAAAATAAATGAAGGGGAAAAAAGTAATACAAAAGTAAATTCAGGAGTGAATTTAATTTAAAAAAGAATTGTATTTGTTTTATCAATTCATTTCTTTTCTTTTCTTTTAAATTTTAGGTTTGGGACTCCACATCTGTCAGATCTCTTTTTAAAATAAACTAGGACACGTCAGTGTTAGAAAAGATTTAAATGAATTTATTTATTTTTTCACATTTCTTTAGAGAAATCAGTTACATTTTTTTTCTTGATCTCCAAAATGAAGTATTCATCAATCAGCAGAGAACATTTCACATATACTTCAAAATAAATACATCATCTGCTCTCTGCTGCAGTAGGACGTCACTTGCAGGGGAAAAAATACTACTTTAAAACCTGCACTACAAACTGCTCTATAAGTACAAAGACTTAAAAATGACAGCAGGCAGGACGGGCCACAGACAGACACAGGACGGCGCCACCACCACCCCTTTATATCAGAGCAAAGGGCTTACTCCAGGGTTAAACTGTCCCGTAAGTCACGGTATTGAGGAGAAAGAACACTGTGCAAACTCTTCACTTGTTATTTTCCACTCGCTCGTAATGTCACACACACACACACACACACACACACGGGTGTTTGTGAATGGCAGAATGAGAACCTCCGGCTGTAAGCACATACGTATCATAAAACCATAGTAACGTCTACTGGCTGAACGATCTCTGCACTGGTACTTCCTGTTTCACAGCCCCGTTCCCTTCATGCCCCTCTCTGTCCCTGGAGGTTGGGGAGGTGGGGAGAGTGGAGTTGACAGGATCTATTTACATCACTTCCTGTAAGTGCTGTAGCAGCACGGGACGTGTCTGTAGGCCTCTTCATATGGACACCTCATATTCTCTCGTATCCTGTTCAATAAAAACACAGGAAAATTACATGTATGTTAGCATAATGGAGGATCTTCCAATGTGTGATCATGGAAACGCTGTTGCAGTATCACTAGAGCATCCTGGGTGATTTCCAGGCCCTCGTTATGCGGTTTAGGATGGTTACTAGGTTGTTGCTAGGGTGTTTTGAGTGTTTTCTATTGCTAGGGTGATCTTGGTTTCCAGGTTGGTGCTATGTGGTTTCCAAGGGGTTCTGGCTGGTTGCTTTGGAGTTACTAGGTGGTTGCTAGGTTGTTTCGAGTGTTTTCAGTTGCTACGGTAATCTGGCTGGTTTCCAGGGTGACGCTTTGTAGTTTTCAAGGGATTCTGGCTTGTTGCTAGGGAGTTAGTAGGAGGTTGCTTGGGTGTTTTCAGAGTTTTCCGTCGCTACGGTAATCTGGGTGGTTTCCAGGGTGACACTTTGTAGTTTTCAAGGGATTCTGGCTTGTTGCTAGGGAGTTAGTAGGAGGTTGCTAGGGTGTTTTGAGTGTTTTCCATTGCTAGGGTGATCTTGGTGGTTTCCATGGTGGCGTTATGTAGTTTCCAAAAGGTTCTGGCTTATTACTAGGGAGTTACTAGGGGGTTGCTAGGGTGTTCAGTTGCTATGGTAATCTGGGTGGTTTCCAGGGTGGCACTATGTAGTTTCCATGGAGTTCTGGCTGGTTGCTAGGGAGTTACTAGGTGCTTGCTAGGGTGTTTTCAGTTGCTAGGGTGATCTGGGTGGTTTCCAAGACATTCTGGCTGGTTGCTAGGAGTTACTAGGTGCTTGCTAGGGTGTTTTGTATGTTTTCAGTTATAATCTGGGTGGTGCTATGTAGTTTCCAAGGGGTTCTGACTGGTTACTAAGGAGTTACTAAGTGGTTACTAGAGTGTTTTAAGTATTTTGAGTTGCTACGGTGAGCCAGGTGGTTTCCAGGGTGGCGCTATGTAGTTTCCAAAAGGTTCTGGCTGGTTTCTAGGGAGTTACTAGGTGGTTGCTAGAGTGTTTTCAGTGGCTACGGTGATCTGACTGGTTTCCAGGGTGGCGCTATGTAGTTTCCAAAAGCTATGTGGTTTTCAAAGGATTCTGACTTGTTGCTAGAAGTTACTAGGAGGTTGCTAAGGTGTTTTTAGTGTTTTCAATTGCTAGGGTGATCTGGCTGGTTTCCAGGAGTTACTAATCGGTGGCGCTATGTTGTTGCTAGGTGGTTGCTCAGATGTTTTGGATGATTCTTATGCAGTTGCTATGGTGCTCTGGGAAGTTTGCCAGAGCAGAACAATGTAGTGGTTCTGGGTGGTTGCTAAGTAGTTGGTAGGCGGTTGCTAGGGTGTTCTGTGAGATTCTCACCCCTCCAGTCTCATAGAGAGGGTTGTCAAACTCGGTTTCCACGGTGATCTGGCTGTAGGGATGCGGATACATCAGAGGAAGTCTCAGGTTTGAATGATAGCGGCACCTGAGGAACAGAGAAGAGAGTTTGACAGGCTCAAGCGCAGCACATGTTCTGATGTTCATGGTGTTTTATCATTACGATTCAAGCCATTACATGCTTTATGAAGAAACCAATCTCATTTCACAAGCGGTGGCTCTAAGAACCGTTTCATTAGTACAAGTAACTTGGAGCGATCTATTAAATCAGAAACAGAACATGTGTAAGTGCCCATGAACATGGCAGCTCTTTACTGTTGTACAGTTAGTAAATACTAAAGAGCTGTGCTCACATTAGACTGTCTGTATGGCTCACCTGGTGACGTAGATGTAGGTTCCTCCCAGTAAAACAGACACTAGCAGCACCAGGATAAATATTGCTAGAGCCATACTTCCCCCATCAAAAGAAGAGTCTGCTGCCGCCTCAGCCACTAGACAAGATACAAGGATGATGTACATTAATAATTCATTTCCTCTTGCATTACCCTCTACAACTATCAAACATTATAAATATATAATCTCTCTCATACAGTAACAATGCGCTTTTGCTGCTTGTGATATTAAAAGGTAGACACTTTACAATATAAAAGATACGATATAAAAAAACTAAACCTTTGCTTAAATTAGTGCATTAAAAATAAAACTTACCCTCTAGTGCATGATTGCTAGAGCATTCATGATTGGCTGAAATATATTAGGTAAAAATTAATATATTTAATACATACTTCAGCATTTAACGTATAATATTATAATCTAATAAACAATATATATATATATATATATATACACACACACACACACACACACACACATATATATAGATATATATATATATATATACACACACACACACACACACACATACATATATGTTAATTTTTTTGTTTCGTTTTGTTTTTTTAAGTAATGGTGATCCCAAAATGGCAATCCAAACATATGTACTTTGTTTTCTATTTATTCACTATTTATTTTGATTTATTTTACTATGTATTACTACCTAATAAAGCTGCATTACAGACATTTAATGATTATTCTAAGTATTCTTAGAATATATTTAATGTATAAATATAAATTTTTTGAATACTAATTTTTGAATGTAACAACCTTTGGAAACTAAATATCTGTTAATGAAGCTGAATAACAAAAATGTAGTGAATATTGAATGAATAATAGTAGTGAATAATAAGACAATATTACATTTTTAAATATATAAATAAATACAACCTTTGTATATTCATTAAATACATTTTAAAATGTTTTGAAAAGAAAATATCTGTTACGGAGCTCAGTTAGGACAGTAATTGTTGGGAATGGGAAGTAAAATAATTAATAAGTAAAAAAGTATAATAACAATAATAATAATAATACAATTATTATTATTATTATTATAGTATAAAATAAATAAATAAATAAATAAATCTTGGTATAAAGGGTTAACCCTGTAAATTTTTATACAAACTTATTTTTAGTAAATACCATAAATGATTCTTACCTCTGCACAGAGGTAATGGACCACTCCAAAAAGACGGATTTCCCAGAATGCACTTGATGGCCATCTCACCAATGAGCTCATAGCCTTGGTAGCACATGAAGGTTAGAGACTCTCCCGGTAGGTAAAGCCTTTTAGACAATATCTGGTAGCCATTGTCAGGAAGGCCGGGATTCTCACAGGACACGGACTCTTCCGCTAATATACAGGGAATTAAATCAAGAATAATAGAGGGATTAAACAGGAGCTAAAACATAAAATACAGACATTTTGGACAAAACATTTGTGGGAACTCACACACGCAATGAGGCAAGCGAGACGTCCAAACAGGAGTGCCGGGTTCTCGACCATAGCAAGTGAGAGTGGCGCCGCCCTGCAGGATGTATCCGGGAATGCAGCTGTACTGGATAGTGGTGCCAACCAAGAGTTTGGGATCAGACAGCATGCGTGTGGAGTGCTCCACGTGTCCAGGGTCTGTGCAGTACATAACTAATGAGGGGAAGCGAGAAAAGGAGACACAGCTGAGAAGGATGGCATTTGAATCTGCTGAAAGTAAAAGTTCCTCAGACTCTAATTAGCAAAGACACCCAACTGTGCTTGACTCACTCTTCTCACAGAACGGAGGCTGCGTGTTCCAGCTCAGGTCCACCTGACAGGTCAGGGTTTCACTGCCCACCAGGTCGTACCCCGGGTCGCACTGATACGTGATACGAGCTCCACGCACCAGCACCGCGTGAGAAGTGGTCTTCCAGCCGTTCTGGATCTCAGGGAGGTCTGGACACGAGTCATTGCGTGACACCTCTGAAAAAAGGAGCAAAATTATTTAACCTCTTCTATTCATCACACAGAAATTCGTTTATTGAATTTTTATTAACAGAAAAAAAATACAGGAGAATAGCAAAACAAATTGTCACCACTCCACCTCCATTT